TGAGAAAATTGGTGAGGTCTGTATCCCTTTATATGTGATTTCCCTTTAGGTGTATCTCACCAAAAACTAAATTTTTGTTGCAGGGGAAGGCCAAAATCTGATGTATATCTTAGTGCAGAGTTTTGACAAAATCAGTAAGCCAATCACAAAAGTGGGAAATTACATTTCTGGGGGATGTTCCTTACACCATCTGTATACAGAATGCCTCCAGGTTGCCATATTGCATTTGTATTTTACAGAAAAGTATAGTACTGAAGATTGAAAAGGAAAGGTCATTTTTAATAATATTTAATTACAAGATGACTTGTGTCGCAACTGTGTACGCTACATTATTTCTTCAAATTTGCTCTCAATTTCTTTCTGCTCCTCCTCCTAGCAGAGACTTGGCAGCTCGCAGAACTACTGCTACAGGACTGCGCAAAATCACGTATATATACGTGATTTCGCATTTCCTCTGCCCTACCCGCACCGTCATTGCTGGCTACACCTTTTGAGATTCCCTGGCGGCACCCGACGATCGCCGAGGAACAGTGAAAGGGGAGCGGTCTGTGTGTAAACAACACGGATCTCTCCCCTGTCAGCATCGACATGCTGCTTTGTTTTTGCTCTGCATAGCAGAGTAATACAAAGCAGTATGTTTCCCTAGTAAAACACACACAGCACACACAGTAAAACAGCACACATTTAACCCTTTGATATCCCCAGATGTTAACCCCTTCCTGCCCAGCGCCAGTAGTACAGTGTCTTTTTTATTAGCACTGATCACTGTATTAGTGTCACTGGGGATGTTAGTGGCAGTTAGTCAGTTCCCCTCAGTGTCAGAATGCCTGCTGCACTCTCGCTGATTGCCACCATTACAAGTATAAAAAAAAACAAATTCCAGTATATATACCGCCATTTGTAGACATTTTAACCATCATGTAAACCAATTCATTTACATGTATTGGGATTTAAATTTATGACGACATTTGATTTTTAAAATTTTTTTACTGGATATGTTTTATAGAAAAAAGTATTTTTTTCCAAAATTGTCAGTCTTGTTTTGTGCAAAAAATAAAAAACACAGAGGAGATCAAATACCACCAAAAGAAAGCTCTATTTGTGGGAAAAAAGGACATAAATTTAATTTGGGTACAGCGTAGCATTACCGCGCAATTGTAAGTTAAAATATCGCAACGCAGTTTAGCAAAAAATGTCCTGGTCAGGAAGGGGGGTAGATCCTCTGGAGACCAAGTGGTTAACAGATCTATATGACAGGTTCTCATTAGCCGTTTTCCATTAGTCTACTTTCACACTGAGGAGTTTTTGAAGCGTTTTTGAGTTAAAAAAAAAAGTGCCTTGAAAAGCTAAAAAAAAAGGTTCCCTATGTGAATGTATATCTATGTATGTTTTCACACTGAGGTGTTGCGCTTGCGGTGCGGTGTAAAAATTCCTGCTTGCAGCATCTTTGGGGTATGTTTGGGGAGTTAAAAAAAGTCCCAAAAATGCCTCTTCCCATTGAAATCAATGGAAAATGCCTGAAAAAACACCTGAAAAGCTCCTCTGAGAAGCATTTTTTGGTGCAGTTTTTAAGTCACGTATCCTTTAAAAAACACTCAGAAAGCACAGCAAAAGCGTGGTGAAAACGCCTATGCGTTTTTGAGGCGCATCAGTGTGAAAATAGCCTTAATATCAAAATTCGATGTGACATCTAATGTGAAATGATGTGCTCCTCTTTACAATGTGATCAATTCCACCTTTGTAATCTAACACAGACTGACACTATTTTACAGGTATAGCCTTGCCTTGCATTGAACTGTAGCAGTGCAGTGCAAGTCAGACTTTGGATCAGCTACAATATATATGAGCAGAAAATGCACAAGCAGCAGAACCTGGGATGAGTTTTACAGCCATATCTGGGTAACACAAAACAAGATGATCTCAGCATTTTGCTGGTCGTCTGTAGCTCTCTGTCTGTGTCAAATGCAGTCTTATAAAATATGTATCTGGGTCACTGGTCCCTTAATAACGCTCAACCATTGGATAAGAAGAATGCAGACCTTTTCCAAATGACTTAGGCTTTAATGGATGAGCACTGGAGGGCCATCCACACTGCTAACATTGAACAGGGATAAATATACTTCTTGCAGCCTTACGGCTTCCATAAAATGAAGCTGCAAAAGATGCCATCTCAGAATGCTTCCCATGCCAAAATATATCTGGAACCAGTGTCTGTTCATGAACATTTTATCTGCTCTCTAATAATGATGTTTCTCTCAGACAAAGACTAGGCAATTACAATCTCCCGTACTAAGGATGCCTAGATGAAGTGATAATAAACAGAGAAGTGTTAATTGCCACAATTAATTCACATAAATTTTATAAATATATATATATATCTCAATTAATTTATTTATGTTGAGTACTTATATAGCGCTGTCAATTTATGCAGTGCTTTACATATATGTATTGTATATTCACATCAGTCCATAACCCTCAAGGGGTGTACAATCTAAGGTCCCTAACTTCACATTCATACATACACACATGCACATACTAGGGCCAATTTAGACAGGATCCAATTAACCTATCAGCATGTCTTTGGAGTGTCGGAGGAAACTGGAGCACCTGGAGGAAACCCACACAAGAACAATGAGAACATCTAAACTCCAGGCAAGTTGGGCTGTGGTTGGGATCAGGGGCGGACTGACAACTCATGGGGCCCCCAGGGAATAGGGGATCAATTTGCCCTTGCCCAAACTCAAAAAAGCCTTTGAAAAAGGTACCAGGGGCATCTCATGGGGCCCCCTACTGACCCAGGGCCCTCGAGCAGTGCCCGAGTTTCCAAATGGTCAGTCCGCCCCTGGTTGGGATTTGAACCAAAGACCCTAGTGCTGCCAAGCGGAAGTGCTAACCATTTAGCCACTGTGCTGCCCCATGCCCCTCTATATATCTTTTTTTTATCCTCCAAGTACCTTATTCCTGCATCGCTGTTGCATGTAAAAATGATCTCTCCCTGTTCCTTGGCATCTGCAAGGAAATATCCTTGGGAAGGGGCTTCTGTTGATTTGCTGATGTATGCTCTCTACAGTATCAGTTTGTGTCTGGCCAGCCCTTACTGGTGCTGTTCCAGTCACATGACTAAAAAAAACTGTTTCAGGAGAGCAATTCAAATTACATTATAAATATAAAAATCTTAGAGGTCCCTATAAATATTTATTGATCATTAAATGTGTATTTTTTTTCTGCGTTAATATGGTGTAGGGGTAGTCAAAGATGATTGACACTTTCATTTTGTTTATCTGCATCCAAGGCTCTTTTTTACATTTGATATAGCTAATACTTATTTTTATTAAAACTAAGCTTTTTTTGTGAGTTTCTTAGTGAATTTGAGTGAATGTAACCAATCAGCATACTATATCTGCCCCCATAGTTTTTATCAATAGGGGGACACGGAAGAGGATGGAGGTGGGGGTGGGGGATGTCATTTATCATTTATAAGAATAATAATTTATCTGGAGTGTATACACCCACATGTGTGACTATATAGTCACATGGGCTGTACAGATAGGAAAAAGGAGGAAATGAAGAGCTTAGAAAGTAACTGAAATATGAGCATGCTCAGTAGAGGACACCTGCTGGTCTACACAATCTCAGCCTGCAATGGGGACACAGAGAAGATGTGAGGGACAGCTGAAGGCAAAATCAATCAGGATCACTCCACACAAAACAAATGCTTTAGTTGCTTTGTGAGTATGCACATTCTGCTATATAGCATGGAATATGAGTTGACACTTTAAATGGCACTTTAAATGGAGTGATAGTGTGCAGTAGCTGCAGACTAGTTATAGCTTTTACCATAATCGTTGGTATCTCTAGTAATTTAGATCTGGTAGGATTTATTAAGGGATATTCATGTGCTAATGAAATACCAAAAAGGTTCAAATAATATACAAAATTGTAATGTAGCTAACATGTAGCTCACAATCTTCAACAGCTTTGGTTTCAAGGAAGGAAAGCAAATCCCTTGAATGCATGACCCATTTAGCCCAATGAGGAGCTCAACTCTGGGTTAACTAATTCCATGTTTTTTACACAGGCAACCAAGGGAGCGGTATAAACAGATGGTTGAGCTGTAGTTTTATTGCATTCCATCTGCCCCCCTAAACACAGAAGTGGAGCTGTACACATGCTGCTGCAAAAATTAAACAGCATGTCACGTGGTTGTCAAGTGATGGGTTGGCATTTTGAGGGTTAAAGTAGGCATGAGGAAGCAAAATTGCCACCTTGTTGCCTATCAAATGCCATCTCAAAAGGAATTTGCTGCGTATAGCCTTTCAGAGGGGCGATAACAATAGCCACAGGTGTGAACGAGCCCTTATTAAAAAGACAGCTCTGGCTGCAATACTTACCCTTAACCCAGAGCTGTTGACATTGTACATCCTCACCACCAGAAGTTCTTATTCTTCTGGGTTAATTGGAAGGCTGAGCACACACTGTGGGTGCAGGGTGTCATGACCTCGCCCCCTCAGGACTCTTAATTCAGATTGTATTGGTGCACAGAGCAATGATGACTTCATCATGTCAGCACCACTATATAGGCCCAGCCCGGAGAAGAGGTGAAGAGGAAGAGGACTCTGCAGAGTCAGGTGACTAGCCTAAAGACTTTGGAAAAGGTAAGCTTACAAAACTAAAACACAGAAGGCAAAGTAAAATCCGAATTTTCTGGGCTAGTTACTTAAAGCTGAACTCCATACAAATAGCTAAATACACAAATTAGACCTGTTTACCTGCCAAAGGGATTTGTATTTATTTTATTTAGCCCTGGTTCACACTGATGCAGTTTCTGCGCAATTTCTGCACTGCATCATAATCGCTCCCCATTCATGCGAAATGCTGCGGGTGTGTATGTTAACTTAACAACACCCTGAAAACGGTTTGCAATACATGGTGCGATATGCAGAATCGGATCGCATGGCTGTGAATACCAGTGCGATCCAATTCTGATGAGGACAAAAAAAAGGGTCCTGCACTATTTTGGTGTGAATGTGGTGCAATGTGAGCTATACAAAATGTATGGCTCAAATTGCATTGCACGGAAATCTCATGTGATTTGCACAGGAATGCGGTGCGGTTCCTGTACGAATCACATGCGAAGTACCCAGTGTAAACCAAGGCTTATTCTTGAGATTTATACATCTCCAGGGTGGACTGACCATTTGGAAACTCAGGCACTTCCCGAGGGCCCGGGGTCAGTAAGGGGCCCCATGAGATGCCCCTGGTACCTTTTTCATAGGCTTTTTTGAGTTTTGGCAAGTACACAGGGGCCTCATGATCCCCTATTGCCTGGGGGCCCCATGAGTTGTCAGTCCGCCCCTGTACATCTCTCTGACACAGAATAGCCCTGTCTAGCAGGAAAAGGGACCTGATCTTCTCCATTGCAGTTTCATTTTTACTAACAGGTTTCTGGCCCACCCTGTGATTAGGCAGCGAAGGAGAAGCAGAATGCTGATGAGTTAATCTCTCTGTCACTCTGCTCTCTCCTTCTATCAGCATGCTCCTTGCACTGCATCACAGCCATTTTGCCTATTTTACTGATTCTCAGGGACTGCAGAAGGTTGATACCAAGTAGAATTCAGGTATTTACGTTGCTCACATTTGAAAAAAAGAATGTTATGATTTATTAATGAATAAAGGGCTGCATTAAACAGGTTCTCAAGGCAGAAAGTTTTTTTTTTTTACCTTAATGCATAGAATGCAGAATGTAGAAAATCCTTCTGCTTGCAGCCCCCCTCCAGCCCCCTTTATACTTACCTGATTTCGATCCAGTGATGTACACGAGAGTGGCTCTCTCTGCTCTCTCCCTTCTCATTGGCTTAAAGCCAATGGCTCCCATTGCTGTCAAACACAGCCAGTGAGCAGGGGCGGGGACAAGCCTCACTCTGAGTGTCAATGGCCACCTCAGGAGCAAGCATGTATGAGTGCCCCCACAGCAAAAGGGTTGTTATGGGGGCATTCAGTGTGGGGGCAGTCAGAAGCAGCAGAGGGGGACCTGAGAAGAGGAAGATCAGTGCTGCTCTCTGCAAAACCATTGCAGAGAGCAGGTAAGTAAGACACATTTGTTATTTAAAAATATATCTGACCCTTTACAATCACTCTAATTTGTGTATTTTGTATTTTCCTGGAGTTCAGCCCTGAGGGTCAGCATGACAGCCAGATAAAATCACTAAATTGAATATGGATTGGTTGAGTTCATGCAATTTGCTCTTTATACCCGTTATTGAATAAGTCTAATGATCTCACACATTGATGTGTTATAGTAATACCGAATAAGCACCCGGGCTCTCTACAGCCTTGTTCAATTTAATGCAGCAACTTTTCCTTTTGTGCTGACTAATGCACCGTGTACCTATCATAGCCACATCGCAGATTGGTACTTGTAGCCATTGCTGCAAATACATTTAATATGACAGAGCAATTGTAAGCTGAGGCATGCAGAAAATGAGGGGCTCTCGTCAGTTTGGCCCGTCAGTCACATTCCTTCGTTTCAGCCTCCAGAATGATATTTTCCATGTATATTGGCAGCATTGTTTTGTGTGGAAAACACGCGGCTTTCAACTCTGAACCAAAGCAATTTTATTTTGCTTGCATCAGAGAACACATGATATTCCAAAACGTGAATGTGAGAAGAGATGATGAAGGACGATCCCTGTTCTATGCTTCTGTAGAGTGAACAGTTATCTTTATCACAGGTTATTTGCTTGTTCCTTTGACAAAAAAGTGCAATGGAATACAAATAAGTGAATAGGTATTTAACTCCTTGTCGCTGACGGCACGCAAATATGTAGGCTCTTGGCGGCCGAGCCATGATGCTGAGAGGCCACATATTTGTATTCCTGATATAAACAAACATGTGCCGAGAGCGCATGCCCTGCGCCTTCCCATCACAGTGACTGGCGCCTCATGGAAAGCTCCTGATCGCAACTTGCGATCAGGAGCTTTCCAATCATGTGACCGCTGAGATAGACAATCCTGGTGGTCACATGACCCAAAACGTGTCCCTCCTCCCAGCATCAGAAACCCCTTAAAGAGCCAGGAGGCACCAGTGCAAAGGGGTTACATAGTTACATCAGTCCAGCTTGATCCACCAGCCACCAGTATGGAACAAAAGAAGTCCAGAAGATGAGGTATACATCAACTGAATATTGGCATAATCCCTTCTGCTATTAATCAAGGACGGATTCTTGATAATAGATCCGGAGATATCCACAAGAGGTGTAAGCCCCTTAACATCCCTAGCGGTATGATTATTTCAGATTTTTGGTGCTGAAAGCGGTACCATTATTTTGCATGGAAATATGTAGTTTTTTTTTTTTTATTGTAGGCCTGTAATTTTTAGGAATAACTCACTGAAATCTGTCCGAACAAGAGGCTAGTAAACATTCTGGATAGGATAAAACTTGAAACACGAAATCATAAATTATAATTTAATAAATAATCATAAAAAAATAATAATATACCGTAATAATAATAAATTTAATTCAATAATATAATCAAACCAAAAACACTGAAATTTGAAATAAAGTTCGCACATCACTGAGCAAAGTTAGAGAATCGTTTTCAGTGTCTGATGACGAATTTCCCCACGAATCATTATCACTCAATTCTGCAAGTGGTTCTGATTTACTATCGCTGTTCTCTAGCTGGTCTAAAACCGATTTTTACCTAAAGGGACACTTTTTGGACGCCATGGACTTTTCTGAGTTTCCAGGCAGAAAGAACAGTCAAAATGCAAGCAGGGCACAGGACAAAGCAGTAGGGACAAAATGTATGTGAAATGCTTTGAAACAGCAACGTTTTGCTATGTAATAATCGTTTTTAAAAAAAATGACATTTTTTTAAACTTTCAAATTTTGCCGCCGCTTCCGGCGCCCGTACGTCCCGACGTCACAGGGACCGGAACATGGAAGCCAGATGCCGGCATCGGCCAGAGGAGATGGCCGGGGAGGCTGCAGGGGACACATCGCGGGAGCTAAGGACAAGGTAAGCGCTGCAGGGAATCCCTGAGCAATGCCGCATGGTAAGCCCGAGTGTAGCTCGGGGTTACCACTTTTGGTACTGAAACTTTACACCGAGCTACACTCGGGAATACCGCCAGGGAGGTTAAAGGGAAAGGTGCATTATGGATTTGGAAATTTTAGTTAGATCCACAGTATACAGAGGACCCTTGACATGGGAAAATGACTTACACATGTATTTGCAAGTGTGTGTAAACAAAACCCTCTGTTTTTAATACAAACTGTTGGACAGGGCCAAATTGGTTGTTTTGCAGGTTGGCTGGTAAGTGTTGCTGGGAAATCCTTTGTTTGCGATGTGCATTGCTTTTCCATGTGCACCTTATTGCTAAGGTTGGTTATAGGTTGGGGCGGTTGACATTCTTTGTGTAATTGGCTAATTGGGACACAGGCCGTGGTGTATTTAGGTTTTGGGCTGCCCTAGGCAATAGCCCCCCCCCACCCACCTGACATTGACCAACACCCCTGCCCCCCCCAACTCATCAGAGAGAAAGTCACTCACCTTTACAGCTCTAGACATCCCTGGGAACAAGAGTCGGGCTCTGCATACACCATCAAGCAGTCCCACCTGGTCTCCATGCTGCAAATGTCCCTTTTTCCAGGGGGCAGTGTTGCCCCCCTGAAAAATGCCTCCCTAGGCAACCACCTTGTTTGCCTTGTGGTAAATACATCCCTGAACACATGGACGCACTGGATGCCCTTGCGTCCTGTCATTTTGGTATAGCTGGGCGTCACGTGCGTCCCTGTACCTTTAAAGAGGGATGGGCTTCTCCAGGCACACCTACCCTTAACCTATCCATTGATGCATGTGCTCCTACAATGGAGGCTTTGGAAATTTTAGTTAGGTCCACATTATACAGAGGACCCTTGACGTGTGACTGTGGCTTATGCATGTATTTGCAAATGTGTGCAAACAAAACCCTCTGGTTTGCAAACTGTTAGACGGGCCAAATTGGTTGTTTCGCAGGCTGGCTGGTAAGTGTTGCAGAGAAATTATTTGTTTGTGATGTGCATTGCACTTCCATGTGCATAGGATGGGACGGTTACCATTTTTTTACATTATAACCTATATGTTTGTGTAGATCCACTATTTAGGTGAGCCCACAGAGTGAAAGGTGCTGGAGCTTACTCAGCACATTTATATGAGAGGTAGACATGCACACATCTGGTGGCAAAACATGGATAACAGAATTGTTTTTTTTATATACAAGGATAAGCAAAGGGCATTTGATTTATACACTATGCTTGCACTGTGGACATTTATTGTTTATTGATGGACACTTAAATAAGAATCTTTATTAGGGTGGTCTTATTTTGAGTTAGTATTGAATTGAGTATATATCCATATAATAGGTGGTATACAAATATATGATTTTTTCAACTGTTGCACTGCACTTTAAATATATATATTATATATATGTATATACCAGGGGTCACAAGGCTTTAAAAAAAAAAAGGGACAGTTTACTGTCCTTCAGACCTTAAGGGGGCAAGATTGTGTCCAGTGGGGGTAGACAATGTGTAGTGCCCCATCATTGGTATCAGTGGGAGGAACAGTGCCCCATCTTTGGTATCAGTGGGAGAAATAGTGTCCCATTGTTGGTGTCAGTGGGAGGAATAGTAGCCCAAGGGCTGGATTAAAACATGGAAAGGGCCACATCCAGCCCTCAAGCCACAGTTTGGAGATCACTGGTATATACCATACATGGTCAATACCCCTTTTGCTGATTTCCCTCTATTCCTGTTCTGGTGACAGCCCAAAACTTGGGATTTCACTTTCATTCTTAGCGATAATGGTAAACAGGACAAACAGAGAAGGTGAAGCTCCTGAATAGGGACACAGGCAGGAAGAAAAACTGGCAGGTGTTCTAATCCTTCTCCACACCATAACTAGAAAAAAAATTGCCTTTGGTTATACCTTACCATTGAGAAGATGTTCCATTTTTACCAACTAGACTGGTATAATATCAACAAGG